CATTTCATTTCTACAAGTAAGTTTCGAAGCATAAAATGTTTTTTGTAGATAAAAATGAGAAACGGTTAGAAACAGTGAGCATTCATAAACATATATAGGCTTTGTAATAGTAAAATTATATAATTACAAGGTTTTCAATAGTATAGGATGAGTATTTTGTAGAAAAAATGAAACATTCACACAATCACTTATCAAAAATAATTTATAAAGCAATTAATGAATAGGCATGTAGAAACTAAAAGACATTTAGCTTGTGTCCTTTGATTGGAAGTACAAGTAAGCATCATGAGATGTGAAAATATAATGACCAAATACTAGAAGAAACAATAATTACAGTAAGTTAGCATCAGTTAATTGTATATTGTAGGCGAGCAGTCTTAGAAAGTTTTACACGTAAAGGATGTGGCTTTCCTGCAGAAATTATAAAAGTACAATAAGTTTCCTATCAGCAAATAGAAAATTTGGCTTTATCTTACTCTATGTATTATATAAGTACTAATATTTATTACATAAATTTGTTATTAAACTCACAGCATCCAGTGGTAAAGAACAAACGACTGTCCCAAAATGTTGTGAACAATGAGAGAGTCCACATGAGTCTAGTGTGTATCACATTAATAAATATATATCTGTACTATATATTTATTGTTCATCAATGACATTAACAAACACCACTTTTCTGCAACTTCTTAACCATGAAGTCATTAAGGAACAGAACTGGCACACATAATCTTTGGGACAGTAAATAACAGACACCTAACTCAAATAATAGATGCCTGTCCAATATAATTTTTGATGATAGTAAAAAACAGAAACCTGTATCACATAATCACAGTATACAACAGAACAAAACAGCTCATAATCCTTGTTAAAGTAAGAGTGAAAATGAAAACACACCATACCCTAAATCTTATCAGGAATCCAACAAAGTAAAATTCCACAAGTGTCACTAAAGAATTAACTATTATAAAATATAATCTTCATCAGAATGAAAATAAAAAGCGGATCTTCTCCTCATGTGGTATTGAAATTGATGACCAAACAGATCAGATCTTTGTTCATGATGGCTTCTTTTAAAGAACGTCTGCTATATATGATTTTGGTCAGAATAAAATCCACATTAACAGTGAAGAATAGATCACTGTCCAATATCATATTAATAAAACTGACAATAAAGATCAAGACTAAATACGATCTTGAAAAAAGCAATGATTTCCATGAAGATGACACTAAAGAAAGCTACCCATTAGAAAAGTCCATATCTTACAATAAAGTGAAGATTAAAAAAACAAACAACAACTCTGCCTGACGTGATCTTAGTTATTTTGACAATACAGAGTTAATCTCGATGTTAAATTACATACAAATTAAGTGTAGACCCCTTACACACAATCTTAATCTCGGCTGTGGTGATAATAGATATCAAAATCCAGCACCTAAGTCCCAAGAATTGACCTTGGTTACATGTGTGATGTTTGAGTTGAAATTTGCAATTTAGATGCCGAGACAAAAACAACTTAATTGTGATTAAGATGACACTACAGAACAGACCGGAACTCTAAATGATCATGATCAAGGTTATATTAAAAAAACTTAATTCCAATACTATACATCAAACACCTACATGTGATAAAACTATCAGTTATGTTCAAAATGTGAAATATTTTTTCCATGATATTTATATATCCATAAAATGACTTATTTCTATTTATTTACTTTTATGACAAGCTTTGAAAGTATTTTTGTGTGATATACTTTAGGTTGCTTCTGACTACATTCATATTGGTCAAAACTTTTCAGAATAACAACTCTAATCATGGTAAGGGCAGATTTGTAAAGCTGACAGGTTTTTGGACACTGTTTATCTGTTTCTAAAACTTGTACAAGCTATATAAATACTATATATTCTAGCATTTCCTAATTTGGAAATGAGAGCCCAGAAGGAAGGCAGCTAGTCAACAGCACTTGCCACCACCTTTTTGGCTATTCCATATGAATTTTGTGAGTTGACCATCACTCTTAATAGCATACACACACATGTTATCAAAGTGTGAAGCATGATTCTGTGACAATAGAACATAAAGTGTGGATCCTCAGATTCACAGTCTAGCATGTTAAACAATGGGCCACATCTGGTCCTTTGTAACATTGTGTGTTACTAGTTAACCAGTATACCAAATTAGCTGAATTATTCACTTGATTAATTTTTATTTCTGATCTACATAGGTAGCTTGCTTTGATCAGAAGTTATTGATAATGGTAGGAAGTATTTGTTGAGTACCAGATTACTAATTAACTTTAAAACAATATTTTTTCAATTTATTCATATAATGTAGCTTATAAGAAAACAAATCTACATTAGAAAATTTAGCTTTGATCTAACTTACAATCCAAGATTCTTTTCCTGAAGCTTGAAATCCTCTCCACATCACCAGGAATACAGCTTCACACACAGCAGTACATAGGGCATCATGCAGGTTAGTTGGAACATCAGATTCCACTTGTTCACCATCCAAAACAATATTTTGCTCTATGCTGCTGGCTTTATCATGAAAATCTATGCTAGTGGAACTGGAGTCTTGTATATCATCATCCAGTTTTTCATCTCCTACTATTGTTGACACATCATCAGTACTGGAAATCTGACTGTTGGACCTGGGTCTGTATATAAAATTTACATTACAATATTACACGTATACCTAGTAGTTTATCACATGTACATCAGGCTAGTAAAACTGGATCTATAGGTAATCCAAAAGCTAACAAGATATGCATGACAAATCAGTAAATCCAAGTCTGTGACTAATAAATTTACAATTTTTTTAAAATATGATGATATAATTGATCTAAATAAAATCTAATACATCAAATCAACAAAATTGAAAGTTTGGTTTGCTAATACAATATTCATCACATCTTTTTTATTTTCAAGGTACTAAATCTGGGACTGTACATAAGGCATTTATAACATGTAAATGAAAATAAAAATATATTATTACAACTCTTATTACATAGCGAAATCCCATTTCATCATTAATTAGTAACTGTAGTATCGAGATGTATCATCTCTGTAGACCAACGAGGTCAATGTTAAGGGGTCATGGTTCAAAATGACTTAAGATTATAAGGAAAATTTAACATCACTTATTAAATATATGAAATTCTAATGCAAGAGGATATTTAGTAATTTCAACCTGACCCACATTTTACATGACATGTTGGCTAAATACTCATCAGACCCCCCAAGGATTCTGGCAATAACAATCTCCAAAACTATCAGCCAGAGGGAGGACAACCACTCAGCAGCACCTTTAACATATGTGGCTACTCCTAACTGAATAGCAAGATAGACTGTCACAGTTATAGTTCCCCCATAGCTGAAGATTTGTAATATTCAGTGGCATATTATGAAACTTACTGTATGCAGAGCAACATACTAATTATTCAGCTGTGCCCAGTCCAGTAGTAAATAAGAGCAATAAAAATTACATTAGAAATAAAAACCAATAAGGGTCTCTTATAACGTACCTATCCAAAAGATGTGGTATTTCAAAATCAAAGATGTGGTCCTTTAACTGAAGGAGAAACTGAGGGGTTTTAGGAAGCGATGATAAAGATTCTTCTAAGGATCGAAGAGAGCTGGATGAATGCTGAGAAAGTCTCCTTAAACTCAATCTTCTTTTCACACTTGGAGATTCTGTGTGGAAAAAAAATACATATTCAAAATTTTGAATAACTAAAGCAAGAACTAACGAAGAATCTTTTAAGTAATGAAAAATTAAAATTTGAGAAAACTCAGAAATAACTCATTAAATGACAGCTTAAGATCAAAATCTTCAGAATCCAAACATAAGTGTTTACATAGAATCACTAACTCAAATAATTGAATTCAAAACATGAATTTAATGTTCAGTAGATAACTAAAGTAATTGTTAAGTGAGCATGAAAGAATGTCCCACAGCAGAAAATTATCTAACATTTTCAAAAATGTACTTATCAACTGCAGAATGAATACACAGGTATATTTACAATCTACAGTAATGATACAAGGGTAATAACTTGTCCTTACAGCCTATTCTTCTACCACTGATGTGTTCTATCTGATGGCCCTGTTTATGAATTACTGCTATGCAGTGAAATGTCTAATGCAAAAGCCTGCTTTTGTGCAATACAAAGAGGATAATGTTATCCATGTGCAAAGGCAGCACCTTCTGAGAGGCCTGTTTGAGTAACCAAAAGGCACAGAACTTCATATGAAGTGTCTATTAATAGTATAGCATGAATTCCTGTTAGTAAATGCATCTTGCACAGGAACTGACATATTGAATTGAGTATGTGGCTGGATGCTTCATTTTGATGGAGTCATATATTATTGGATCCTCTTAAAGTAGTGGCTACAGCATATTAGCATTATAGCAATCATAATGTGCCATGGCATTTTTATTGATTCTCTAGATGTTTAACGTAACACTGTAGGTGTAACCATAAATACCTTAGAAGACTTTGTGAGATGTTTTGAAATATTGTAATACGGACATGATGATTAAAAAATTGCTCAAACATTACTACAGACACTTAAATAGGAATATGTTTCATCTAGAGTGATGACATACTTCCATTTGTCATATGCAAGATGCAGCTCATACAACTTCCACGATTTGGTCCTTGTTCAGCTACTTGTTACGTGTGTTGTGCTGCTATTGCATACCTAAGTCTTCTCTGCACTTCCAAAGAAAGTTTCTACTTTGCTACAATGGGCTTGTTACTTCTTCACTACCTCCAGTATGCAACTGGTAACTAGTCATGGAGTAGCCTTTTTTGTCTTCATTGGAGTCATGCCTTTCCTAGCTTTCCCAATACAACTTAACACTTTAGATACCCTGTTATTCAAAAAGCTAAAATTGTGTCTTGCATGCTTTTAAAATAAAAAAATAGGAGAACTGCACATTAGAAAGAAAAGAACTCTAATCCTTCAGAAGAGGCTAATTTTAAATGTCATCTGCACTTGCAAATTACTAAACTTCAAATGAAATAATTATGAAACATACAATTGTCCTTGTTTTCCTCAATTCTGGAACTAGCTCACTTGCTAATAAGTAAGACATTACACATATTAGGTAGCCTGTGTTTAAGGTCATTCATATAATCATGATTATAAATTTTCTTATCTTATAATAAATGCTCCAGAGATATTGTTTAGTTATCTATAAGTCTTACAGACTGCATTTCAAGTGCTAGGGGGAACTAATAAAAAAATATGTAGAAGCAAACATATTACACAAACTCATGCTATTCGTTAAAACATTTCAAAGGTTCTACAGCTTCTTTAGATACAATTACTGTATAAAATTATAATAGTAACTAACATAGAAGAATGAGAAAATAGCAAAGATTTAATTAATTTAAATTAAGGACATAACATATGAAATAATCACTCATTCTGAAGAACGAGCTTTATTTCCATTATAGTTTCGTTAGTTTTGTGGATCTTTGTTATCTGCATTAGCCATTCCTGATCCTAAAGTGAAGACTAGAAGGAAGGCAGCTACTCAACATCACCTATTTCTAACTCTTGGGAGGCCAAATAATGACACTTGATCACCTCTCTTATAAGTATAAAGATTTGGTATTTTTCTTTTGCCCATGTTATTATAAATAAAATAGAAACACATAACTGAAACTTTAGGAAACAAGTTAAAGACTTGCTCATTAAACTGAATAAAGATATTTTTAGATTTTATAGTCCTTTTTTTTAATAAATGCACAGAACAATTAAGTTTTAGAATAAAATATCAACTTATTTTTATGAACAAAAACTTTATAAATTAAGATTTGCCCAAACAAAAAATTATCGAGTACAAGAAAAATTTGTGGTGAATTATGTGTTTTAGATAGTCACTACAGTTTTTACTATGATACTATTATCCCACTATCATTTCATACATAAAACTGTTAAAGTAAGTTAGTAAAAACTATGGGGAACACTTCTAATTTTGACAAATATTAGAGCAGTCATTTTCTACAGGATGAAACCTGAGTGGTATTGATGAATATTAAAATTGTGAAACATAAACTTATTCATAAGTCTTTTTATCTATAACATTTTTGTGAATTCACAAAATTTGATAAAGTAGATATGTGTGTAAAAAAATTAATGATTTTTTTTATTGGTGTCAATATATAGGTACATCGTCAGTGAATTCGAGTAAACTACAAATTGTTATGGGCACTGTTTACCAAATACTATTTATACATGAAATATATATTTCACAATAGTTTGTCCACACTAAGTATTTGAGATGCACTTGCTCATCAGTAGTTGAACAGTTTCATATCACCCCATTTCATATCCTCCTACTCTTCTTAGTCTTTTCATTCAATCTATTATGTAAAGTGCTTTCTCATCAGTAGTAAACAATAAGTCAGACATATTATGGCAACATGTACTGAAAATTACAATGGTTTTAACCACTTTCAATGCAACACTAAAATATAATACTTTATATTTTTGTAAATCAGATTTTTAAGTACCTGTCCTTGTAGCCTTTTCTGTTTCAGAAATACCAATATCTTGCTGTGACTCCTTCTGCTCAACATCACTTGACAAGTCTATCAGATCACATGAGGACAAGGGATCAGTCACACCTGAAATTGGTTGTTTTATTAACAATCCTAGTAGACATTCCTGCCAACCTATCTGGTTGGCCACTGTGGTCAAACAGGAACTCTTCTCTTGAATTATACATAGAAACTGAAATTAGAAAATTAAAAAAGTCATCTAGTTTCTAATAATGCATGCTGGAATGAAACAGCAATCATGGTACAAGAAATAATCAATTAGAAATTAACTTTAATTATTAAATACACACACATATAAAAACGTACTGGAAAATTACTACATTTGCTGCACCAAGTCTGAAATAACTTACCTTTTTAATTGCATTAAATTTAACACCCACTTCCATGTTACGAATAAAGCTGAGAAAAGACAGAGCTCCTTGGAAGCTTTCAGCAGTTTCTAAGAAATTAGCAAACAAGAAAAATTCATGGTTAAAATAATACATTTTCAATTGTTGTTAGAATGAGTTATCTAGTAACCATTTTCACGTGTCAATATAAGCTTTGCTTTCTGTAACCCTTTTATATATTATTAAAGTGGGTGAAAAACATTTTTTGCCTTAATGTATGCAATGATTCTCACACATAGAGTGCACCATTTTAATTAACCTCACAAGCTGTTGGCACAGATGGCTTACATCTAAAAATTGACTACTTGAATTCGAAATAGAGTAAAAAACGTTTTTAAACAATAATACTATAATTCAATGAAATGGCATGTTCATTAGGAAATGTTTCAGCATATCTATATAATTGATTGACCTGTTAAACTTCATTCAATTATTCCATTATTACTGGTTTACTTTCAGTGTCTACCAAGAGTGAATTAGTCCTAAGTTTTACCTAGCAGTATCTTTAAACTTGTTAGGTTATTCCTAAGTTTTGCCTCATAGTATCCTGACATTTGCTAACTAACTACAAATGCAGCATTTTAGTTAACAACTATGCAATGCCTAAACAAAGAAAACATATACATTACTAATAAACTATAAGAATCGGCAAGTAAATAACAGAAGTTGTCTGTCAATTTGAATTTCCATTGATAAACTGCTTAATTACATTTTGAATAAAACTGGGGTTCTAACTGGGATTTAGAGAATCAAAAATTGTGATAATAAAATATTTAATAAAGTTTTAAATTTTATGCAGATAGAAAATACCACTGCAATGTACTCTAAAGAATAGAAATAAAGACTGGTCAATAGACTCAGCTTGCTTTATAGGTTGAAAGAAGTAAAAATGTTAACACCACAGAATCCATTATATAAGGTTACAGAAAATATAAACAATAGTAAAAAAATTCATTCTACAAAATAAAATAAAAGAAGAACACAATTCATCCTACAAGCAACATTAAATATAAAAATTACAGAGGAAATTGATTTTATGGTTAAATTAAAATAACATAGTAGACTCATATTAACAATGTTAAATTGAAAATATGGATAGCAAAATGTGTATAATCCATAAGACAGATTTAATGTTGAACAGTTTTACCTGTCATTAGGGTTTGGTCCAAAAGATAAGACACCATTTCAGGAGAAAACTGCTGAGGTGTTAGCAAAGTTGTCAGAGAAGAGATTCCAATATCATGGAGACGAAGACGTGACTTGAACTTTTCATATACTTTATCTGATTTCAACAATGAGGAAATTAACTGAAAAAATAATGGCATATCAATAATAGGTAGATAATATGTACATAGATATATAAAGACAAACATAAGTCCAAAAACTTATGAATACACCAAATATTATATAGTTTCTTTGACTTAAAGCTTAGTTGGATCTGTTAAATATAATAAGAGCATAGTGAAGCAATCCAGAACCTAATCAGTTCCAAACTTTAAAAATATACACCAACATATCGAATTTGAAACAAAATGAATATTTTCTGACATATCATGTTCGCAAAATGATTAAATTCTAAAACTGGAAACATTAGCAAAATCATTAGTGTGACAAAAACAATCAATTCCAGATATTCACAATACATATCTTTAGTCTTAACTTGTAAAAACCTAACAAAGGGACCTTGAGATAGTGCATTCACATGATTTGTTTCAGACAAATAGATGGACAGTAATAAGCTTCTTGATGGATAAAAAATCAAAGCAAGTTTCTTCATAAGGAATATATTTTGAAACACTGGCAAACAGAGCAAATATGTAACTAAATATGCAAAAGGCATGTAACTTTTCAAATTTCTCTTTCTAAAACCTGCCTTTAAATGTTGCTCATTGAAATCATTAATTATATTGGAAGCATTACATAAAATTATACAACCAAATAAACATTAATCCAGTTTTCTCTAAGAAACATTACTTGAGTACAGGCAAATTAAGAGTTAGCATTTCTGTATGTAATATTTCTTAATAGTAACAAATACTGAGTGAGTTTCTTTGACAGAAAGAGTATTTGAAAATGGCAAATAACATTAAGTAAATAAATATAATATAAAAACACAACTTAAAGTTAGGAAACTAGGCAAAAAAAAAATGTCTCCTGTAAGTAGCACAAATAAAATAGTGACAAGTTTCCTTCTTTATAAAAGAAAAAAAAAACATTCAAATTGAGATAAAACAGACATATTATGCAAGTTTTTCTGTCAAACACACAACTTGAAATTTACATACAAATGAAAATACATTAATAATTATTGGCTCAACATTTTGTACTGAGAAAATTACTTGTACATGGTAAACAAAACAGATATTAAGTAAGGTTTCCTGTAACTAAGATAAAAATTGGCAAAAAACGTAATTTAAAGTAGCATTTTATATAAGAAGCAATGTCTGAAAATGGCTTACCCTTAAAACCTTGGTTTTTAACACTGATGAGAAATCTTGATTTAAAAGAATTCCATAGAGTAATTCTCCGCAGCTGGGTTCATACAACAACAAAAACAACTGGTCTTTAGCATGAGGACTTTCAACCAAAGCTTGCAAAGTTTCCAAAACTTCACCAACCTTTAATAAAAAATATACATACAGGATTTTGGTTTAACATGTGTTAAGTGTTGTACTGAATCATAGAAGTTAACTGTTGCTCTTTTTTACTGAATACACTCATATATCCTGCTCTAAGAATACAGCCTGACTCACTCTTGAAAAGCATAGTAAACTAAATATGTTAACTCTAAATGCTTCATTGTTGATTTCTATATTTAATTTTCTAATCTATAAGGAAACTGCAGTAAATTATAAAGTAGACATCTGTATAAAGTACACCAAAGCTTACATGTCACATAGCACTGTTACCATAAATTTTATACCAATACTTTAAAATAATCATTTGTGGTCAAATACTTAAAAAAAAAAATAGTTGTACAAATTTAAGTGAACTGGTAAGATTAATTCTTCAATTCAAATAGAAATTTACCATCTCTTCTTCTTTAACAGTAATGAGAAATCCTAGAAGGGCAGAAATTTCCTGAAAGTTAACACTTCGAGACAAGTAGAACTTCATAAGTCCAAACAGCGACATACGAATAGTCTTTACATCTTCTGTTGTTAAAAGTGTGCAATTACTGAAATATGACAGAAAATTATTGACTTATCTTTTTCTTTTTACTAATATCTAATTGCTAAACATGAAAGAAATTCTTCATTTTTTCATTAAAATGGAAATGGATTATATACTCCATCAAGCAGAATTTCTTCAACTTTTTTCTGTGACATCTTTTGACATCATTCACGCATAAGCTACTCAAGAGTTCATAAAATGTGTTATCTAAACATGTTTACATCCATGATGGGGTCTCCTCTTGCAAGTGTCAGCTGCAAAGATCACCCTTTTAAGAGACACCCTGACAAGAGGAGAAAGCATGAAAACTGACTACATAGTGGTAAATACTAATTTGGATTCAATTTTTACTGTTAGAAATATAGAACTATCATATGGCACTGTGCATTTAAATAGACATGTAACTAGACTTGCCTCATTAATAAATAAGAAATCATCCTTCTGAATTTTCAAGTCTCAGCTGAAAAGTGTTTCTTAGAAGTATCCACAAACTTTTTATCTCACAATGGTGTTGATGAAATGCCATAAGCAACAAGAAAAATATTTTTGTTGGAAGATCAATAAGACTAGTACTTGCCAAAGGTTCAGTGGAAGAGAATAAAGAACCATAACAATGTTACGGCCCTGAAGAAAGTGTGTGGACAAACAAACGTCTTTACAAAAGGAAGAAATGCAATAACTTCCAAAGGGCATAAGAATCCAAATTAAAAAAAAGTTATGCAAAGGACAAAAAAAACTTAATTGGAGGTAGTAAGACTGTTCAAAAAACAAAGAGGTATACAAGTCAGAAAAATGTGGACCAAATGATGACAAAGCAAATATATGATATCATCAAGGACAGCAAAAAGATTCTTCCACTTGGACTAACAGATAGTGAAGTTACTCCGATAAAGAATCCTTATTGTTAAGCATAGAACTTAAAACAATTAATCATAAACAAAAGCAAAATATGTCAAACTGAATATCAACATGCATAACTTTTACAACCAAAAACATGATAGAGAAAAAGGGTATCATGTTGATAGATGAAAAAAGGAAACAACAGGCCACCATGAAGCAATGAGAGAATCTACCATTAAATATGAGATGAATGTCTATTACCTCTTTAACTGTTAAATGCTAGAGGAGGGTCTACTGTGCATATAAAATGGTACATGTGGAGGAGTCTCTGGTGAACTGTGAGGCAGATCATGAACATGTGATGTCACAAGATAGTACAGGAAGAAACAACGCAAGTTGTTCATCTAGAACAGTTCAGAAATATGTTTAAAAAATGATTTCACAATCATTTATTTGGGATGTTATAAAGTAAACTAAATATATTAATGTTTACATGTACAAAAGGTAAGGAAATACTGAACCTGAAAACTGGCAGTATATATTTTCTTAATTCACATAACAAGTGATAGATATAAACAGGCGACACATATCAGTTTACTATTACTTTTACATTGACAAATGTAAAGTTTTTAATGATCAGCCACACTCTACTTTGAAGTTAAAACTGCTTCACCTATATTTAAGTTAAAACTATCATTCATTGAAATCTGCATTTGTTTGTTTTGAAGCTACACGAGGGCTATCTGCACTAGCCATCTCCAAGTTAGTAGTGAAAGACTAAAGGGAAGGCAGCTAGTCATCACCACCCACTGCCAACTTTTGGACTACTCTTTTACCAATGAATAATGGTATTGATCATCACATTATAAAGTCCCCACAGCTGAAAGGGTGAGCATGATTGGTGGGTTAGGGAGTCGAATCCGCAACCATCACATTGCGAGTTGAGTGCCCTAACCACCTGGCCATGCTGGGCCTTAAAATCTGTGAATAATGTTCTCATTTACTTGAATTTGCTTACTAAAATGTATATAAATTGTAACTTTTAGTTATAAATGAATAATAATAAAATTGTAATGTCCTGTTTTACTGCGAATTTTTAACAATAAAACAATGCTCAACATATTGTTATAACAGAAAATATGATATGACCAATAGTTTCATTGTTTACAAGAATATCAATTCATGAGTAACACAGGATTTAATTAAAATAATAATATATGATGATTTTTTTAATGAAATCCCAACAGACTTTAAACTTAAGATTACAGACCTGGATTTCTGAAAGTGCTGACTATTTTCCTCATTGAACAATTAACAAAATTTGTTCTCATTATTCAATAAACGTAACAAATGCAAAATATGAACAGAAACTAGCTTTTATTGTGTGAAATGGATTAAAAAATACATAACAAATCCTGAAACATGTAGAAGATCACTGAGTTTTAGAATGAGTTGAGTAAACTAGAACATATAGTTAATTATTTCAAGTAGCTAATTTAAATTACTGAAATTGTACATGAAACTGCTGACTAATACTGCACCAATGTTGAAAATATTTCATGCGAGTGCATGTAATTAACTGTATTTATAAAAAACAAAAAGGCTGGAAAGAACATTATCAATTATAAAGTTTGAAATTAAAGAGAAATATGACTTCACTGCATAATGTTTTGTGTTATTTGCAGTGTTTAATAACCATGAAGTATTAAAAAAAGAAGTGAATGAAACTGACATTTGTATCTGAAACTAATGTATTAATAGCAGTAAATAATAAAAGTTCCATAATTGTAATGATTCTCTAATAAAAACTGTGTATAACATTTAACAAATAACTGATTGATTAGAGTTGAATAAATAAGAAAGCTAGGATGCTACAAAAAATATGCTATATTTTGTAACAATCATTAACATGTCACAGTTTAAAATATACAAGTACCTTTCTAACAATGACAGAAAAATAACAATATGAAACAAACAAAATAGTCAGAAATAGAGAGTAATAAAATAAACTGTATAAAAATGTATTACAGAGTACTCTAATTGACAAAGTGGATGAACTTGTGTTACTCTTACCTGTAGAATGCTTGAATAGTATCGAGGAAATATTGTGTACCATAATGTTTACGAAAATACTTCCAGTCATCCTTGATAATTGTTGACAGATACTGAATATGACCTTGAAGATAATTTTGTGGTAAAATTTAAGGCACTCAAAAGTTTTGATTCACATACATTGAAACAAATGTATGTAACAAATTATGTTTAAGAAACATTTTTAACAAATCCAAAACATAAACAAAGATCAGCAGAGAATTTTAACAGGCAAAACAGAATTAAATATTATGTTAGCTCAATAAAATAATTTAGTTTAAAAGTCACATTTTTATACTTAATGTCCAGGTTACATAAGAATTAAACAACATTTATAAAAAATTTACATACTGAACGTACAATTTCAAAAAATGTGAAAAACAATTGTTCAAAGAAAGAATCAATAGCCATTTTAAAAGATCATAAGAAAGTTTATCTTTGTCAGTATTTTTGAAAGTTTAAGTATACAGCATATAGAAAAAATGACAGTCTTGATGGTGAATACATGATAATATCAACAAACATTTTCAAAACTTACACAAAATAAGCTAGAATCAATAAAAATGTTCATCACATACACACCAAACATGGTTTTTAATATACATAAATAACACAGGAGAAATATAATGTGAGGATGAAGAGACATTTTACCAAATAGACAGAATAAACAAGAAACTAGCAGACATTTTAAGATGTGTACAGGATAAGCTGGGATCAAAAGATATTGCAAGAAATATAGAGGATGGACAAGGCTACAAGAGTACAAGACAATTTGAAACATGTTACATGCTGGATAGACAAAGGTAAAAAAAAAAAGATAAATAAAATGTAATGATAGGCTAGGACTAACAGACATTTTTGAAAAGTCAAATGTAATAAAAATTCAAGAAACTGTTACCAAGGGTACATGTTAAGGCTCTTTAAAAAATCTTTTACAAATGAATAAAAAATAATGGGTCAATTAACCTTGGTACCCTTTACTGCACATGACACATGGTTTTAGTGTCTTACATTCAAAATTTTATCAAACTGCTATTTGTTTATGTTATACCAATTAAAGTAGCATCAAATCTTAGCTAATAATATTTTAATAGTATACAAGTTTTAAGTTCTTAATTCTACAAGGCAATATTTTAAAAAATCCTGAATTTCCACTAGTGTGATCCAAGTGTCTTAACATGTCATCATCCCTATTTTATCCATCACCCCTCGAAAATGTATGAAATTAAACGTAAAATACTCTCTATAAAATTGTTATTGCTCAAACAAACCATAATTTTTATAGCCTTCAATTTTGTTTGGTTACAGAGCTATCAAATAGAAAACCAGACCTCTCCTGTCACACACATCTGTCACATCCTCTCTCTCAGAATTCATTGATAGTTCTCTCTTAAGTTTCATTATATACTACCTATAACCAATAGAAAGTCAAGGTTTTCATCTATCAAATGACGTATTACATAACATTGTATTCTGAACAGAATATTGCCAATTTCACTCACAGTAAAAGATTCGTTCCCG